GTCTCTATCGCGTGAATATTATTCTAATTATTATTCATAAAAATAAAGTTTGGAAAACAAGAAAAAAGAACAAAATGAGCGGAAACCAAACCGATAATCGAATTTAACAACATTGTTGACTTATACTCCTTCAATTCCTAAAACATAGATTTTTATTTATTTTATAAACATAGATTTTTATTTATTTTATAAACATAGATTTTTTTTTACATGTTTATGCGGTTTTTATGAAGTAAATGATGATGAATTGTAAATTTCAAAACATATTTAGTGATTTTATTGAATTATTATTGGTGTAGAGTTTTGACTATAACTTCTGATTTATAGTCAAAACTCTAGAAAATCTATCCTTTAGAAATGGAGGGAGTATTTCGTATAACTCTCCCAATTTTCTTCCTATAACACAAATAGGCAAACAGAAAATACACACCATGTTTGTTATGTATGATTAATGAGAAGTCCATTGGTATAAATCATAACCACATCTTTAGGTCATAAGAACATTATAAAAAATTACTTCTAATACATTTGAGTGTAAATATCGGAACAGTTAACTTTGTTCAACCATGATCAAATCCCTAATTGGTCTAATCAATAGCAAAACATTTGTTTCTCAAATACAAAGTATGTCTAAGCGGTTGGAACAATAGTGCCAATATAACCAACTCCAGCAACAAAAAATGCACAAGACTGTAAAAACAGATAAACGTAGAAGTATGATCCTCCAAAGGCGAAATCGTAGCATCCACAGAAGAATATATATAATCCAACAACGAGCTCCCTCCAATTGATTCTGAAAATGTTATAACTTTATTAGTTACGACATTCAAAATTCTTAGAGGTTAATTACTTGTAATTGTGTGTATTTTTAATTCAGAGTAGTTGGTACCTTTGTCCAAATCTGGTAAAAAGCTTAGTTGTAGCTTTAGCTATTAACTTAGACTTGAGAGTGTCACCTAATTTTTCAGTTACAACCCATTCGTTAACCCGTCCTGCCTCTAGTAACCCGATGAAAGTCGCCTTTGTGCGATGCATAGACATAACATTTTCGAATAATATCCAAAATACAAGAAGATGGAGTGATCTGCATTTGACAAATGTTTATCATAAGAAAATGAGAAAACAGAGTTTTGATGGAGTATAGAGAGAGTAGAGATGTTACCGAGGTGTAGCGATTGCGTTAAGGAGCGTAATGGTTGTAGGAAAATAAACAGTTGCCCATTTAGGAACTTGGAGCTCAGGGAATAGCACAGTTGTTGGTAAAATCAGACAGTAGAAGAAAAATGTGAAGATGTGTACTACAATCTTTCTTATGAAGAAGAAATTGTATATGAGATACAATTTCTTCAACACCGACACTTTCTTGTTCTGTAGAATTTCCATTGTCATCTTTCTACAGAGATTTGCTGGTCCACAAGACCATCGATGTTGCTGAAAGCGGTATGCTTTGAATGTGCTTGGCAATTCATTCTTCACCTGAAT